AGGTGCACTAGAAACAATAACTGAAACATATTTAAAGTGGTTGGTTTTTTGAGCTTTGTATTAACTGAATTCACCTTTGCACAATCAAATGTTTTCTCCTAGAATATCATTGCTGATCTGAAAATATGCACTGATCTACACTGTTTTTCATTCTAAATACATTTCACAATGTTTTTGACTTGCCAAATTTTATGGTGACTGTCAATCTTGCAGGATATATTACCTAAGTAAATTATATTGAAGGCACATTTTCTGTCTGAATTTTTTTATTTCCATGTGAAGGTCAACACCAACATGTTTCTTGTTGGAGTTTTAATTTGCTTCCACGCTTTTTATCACAATGATGTTTGAATGATGAGCATGGAACTCTTTGGAAAGGCAAATTGGGTATGTAATTTATTGTTGATTCTGTTTTGAATGAAAAACAAAGGAATGATCAGATTTTCACTCAAAAATTGTATTTGAGGAGAACGGATAATGTCTCAGATAAAAGTGAACTGATCATAAGATCTTTTGTAATAATAAATACATTGCATTACAGTGAATGGCATAAAACTGGGGATGTTAAACATTTTATAAATCAAAATGACTGGTAGAATTCAAATGGACCAATCCAGAAACTATTCAGCGACATCATTAATGAGCTAGCTCAACATCATCCAATCAAGCCCTTCATACGTAGACAGTAGCGCTTGCTATGTCACTTAAGGGGCATACGTTTAATGTGTTTTTTTCAATATTTTTTTTTTTATTTAAAATTATTGATGGTTATGACAGTATCTATGACTGCTTTTATTCTATACAAAAATTCCACTTTATAAGGCTTATTTTGATGTTTTTCATTTCAAAACATTGCCACTTTGTGATTGCTTATAAACACAAGCACAAAATTTGCATAAAAGTAATCCTAAATGACACTTGATGAAAGATCCAATTTGCATATCAATAAGTTTATGTACTTGCAGTACTCATTTTGCCCAACCTTCCGCTTTTACTGCTTTTTAATTGATCGCTTAATTTCCGACTGCGCAGTCTTGTCAGACCAGAAACTGACCGCATTTTAATCGCATTTTAATTGATTTGGATCTTGCGAGCCAATCATTATAATTGAATTTGAAATAAATATTTACAAATTACTATAAATATGTTTATAAACTTAGGTACACCTGTATAGACTGGTAAAAATAGTACATGGATATGTGTCTACCCGATTTGTAAAATATATTTGTAAAAAATTTTTACTCAGCTGCCTGTGAGCTTCACATACTGTTGTAGACAAAACAATGAAAGATACATCATTAAAAAAAAATAATACCAATTAAAGTGAACACTTTACAATAATTTTACAGAACTATATTCATAATATAAGATACATGTATACACAAAATATTCAAAATAATAAAATCTAAAATTAACAGATGAAACTTGACATATCATAAAATGAAGTGATATAAAATATGATTTTTTAGAAAGTATACTACTTGTGCAATTTGACATTTAAGCAAGATTTCACACAGGGATGTAAAAAACAATTGTTGCCGTGACTGACATTAAAATTTTGATGCAATGAAGACAAATTTGACCAATAAGCATATGTGAGTTAGTTGCTATGCATACATGTAGCATGGACTTGTATCAAACACAGCCAATCACTGATCATCACCGTGTAATCAGTTTGAAGTTATTTCTTGGTCTACTCAATTTGATGGCAGTATGCAGATTTTAAGTTTGTAAAATTGAGATAAATTTTCCAATTAAAAAAGATTAAATTTGTAATTTGTTTTTGGCAAGTAGAATACCTGCAGGTCCTCAATCCAAAATGCTATCAATGATTCAACACTTAAAGTCTTACGACTATCAATTTAACACTGAATTTTTACAATCAAATACAATGTATTAATGATTAGGGAAATTTTGAGAGACAAAAGATCACTATAGAATATCCTGCTTAAAGCACCACTCGATATGTAACGCACTTTGAAACATTGTGTATACATCAAATGGGGTTTATTTCAGACACTGAAAGATGTGATGTGTCGCATTAAAGAACTGCACTGAAATTTACGCTGCTACAAACCTTTGTGTTTATTTCCCGCAATTCAGTTATTTCGCACAAATTTATCCCACAAAACAAAAGCCCTTATAAAGTACAACAGACGTTTCTCAACATGTATCAGAATATATTGTCAACTATCTGATACAGTAACATATATTCATAATGCTGCAAATGCAAGACAGTGAATTGAAATTGTTGAAAGACTTCAAGCTGATAATTGTAAATGAATTGAATAAAAAATATTTTGCACAATAATAAATGATTTGAAATTTGAATGTTATATAACTAGCCGATTTTAAGCATTTGCACCCAAGCATAGAAAATCATTTAGGTGTGCCAATGTACTCCTTTCACAAGGACGTAAACACTTTGGGCTGTAATATGACGAACATAAATTTGACTACTACTGATTTTTTTAAAATTTTAATCGTATACTATACGTATCCGACTTAGTGCCCAGGCTACTCATTCCCAAAACCCTGTTTTTAGTCAAGCACCCGCCCCCTTGAAAAAATGATAGAAATGACTGTTTTAAGTTCACGGTGTCCCAGATTAGGGAAAATACATGGTTTTTTTGGGAATGTGTCAGTACTGCCATCTTTTCCCAGATACCCCTAATTCAAGCCATGTATGTACCAAAGTGAAGGCACGTAATGACAGTATTTACTGAAAGAAAATTACCAATATTAGGATTAAGAAAAAAAAAATTAGGGTCATCCTACTTTGTTGAAGAAAATCTATCTTTAAAATTAAGTGAAATTATTTATAGCATGTTTTGTCTTTTAGGTCATTTTACCATTTTTTCACTACAATTTCACTACAGTTGTTTTACAATGTATTGAAAAATTGTCATTATTTTTAGTGTTTTTTTTAATGTCAAAATGTGTTTACATTGTTATCTATAGAGCACAATGTTAAAGACAAATTGCATTTGTTGGCACTTTTTAAAACCCAGGAAAAAAGGTACCCCATCATTCACAATATATTATTTTTTCAGCCTATGTCACCAGCCTATAATTTGAGATATGGCATAATATCTGTGACATAGGAACCCATGGTAAAAATGTTATAATACTGTCAAAATGGCCACTATCCACTAAAATTCAACCATCATTTTTTTTAGAAAATTAAGCTGGTGACCGCAAACATTTTTAAAATCAATATCCTTATATTGTCCGGAAGTACAATTAATTGGAAAATCAATAAATTCTGGGTATTTTTATTTATGAATAAGCTTCTACCTTAATTAAAAATGCACTTATTCAGCATTGAGTGTACATTTTTAGACTGAATATTCTCTAGTGGCTGATAAGAACAACATGTTGCTTGTCTGAGTTTTAAGACGAGCTGCTGTCGTGCTGTTGAATTAGAATGATGTTCAAATGACAGGCACGGAGATCCGTGGGAAAGTGCTAGTGGTGTCAGGAATTTATAAAAACAGAATATGTCACTTAGATATCCATGTAATGAACATCACATCCCATACCATACAAGTTCCATGTGTGCGTCAATCTAACTTTGTCTAATGGTATGTGTTTTGTCTAATGGTATGTGTTTTGTCTAATGGTATGTGTTTTGTCTAATGATATGTGTTTAGTCTAATGGTATGTGTTTTGTCTAATGGTATGTGTTTTGTCTAATGGTATCACCAAACTTGGTAGACAATTAGAAACTGGTGAGAGGTCATCACCCTACACAAAAAAATTTAAAAAAGTGCAAGACGTATTCTGTGATCATATGAGCAAGAAAAACAGTCCAATGTTACCATTAAAAAGTACATGTCTTGTAATTCTGTAATTATCTTGCTATTTGTGTGACTGCAAATAGGATCACACCAGATGTATCAACTTAATTAAAAATCCTTGGTTATGTTCATTTTCAGTTCTAAGTCTATCAGTAGCAAGACATACCACGCACGACTGTGTGTTGCAACTCTTTTCAAATTGTGGGCAGTTTTAGCAGCATACAGATTAAAAATATAACACTGATTATGATTGAAATGAAATTTTTTTTTTTTTAAGATGATATGTGAATATTAATATGCATGTATATCCTGAGTAACTCTTATAGATTACACACATAAGACACATTAAGGAAGCATCTTTAGGACGGGGGTTGTTGCACTGCACATGTTCAAATATTGTGTAAATATTATCCAGAGTGGCAATTTGCATAAAAATAGGATACACAAACTTGAATGAAAAAACAAAGCTTTTGTCCAGACATGTTATGCAATTTATACATTTAGGTGAAAAACATAACCATGTTTATGCGAATAAATGAGATTTCAAAAAACCTAGAAGTGTTACCTTAGAAGTTGATCAATACAGTTCAATGAACAAGGATGGGTTTGTTTGTTGTGGGCACACAGGGGTTCTCAATTTCCATCACCAGTGTTTTAATATACATGAAGGTTACAAGTGAAACTCATATATTGACAAATTTGTCTGTGACCCCGTTTTTTTTCTTAAATACACTTCTATTCACAAAGTATCACAATTTCCCTGAACTCAATAAAACTGTATTGACCACCTTTAAAACTGATCTAGCCTACACAGAATGTTTCGAAAAAAGTCAATTTTATCTTATAATGCAAAAGGGGGGTGAAAATTTACATGTATATTAGAATAGTTAGATTGAAACTCATTTTCAGAGTAGGGTACACTTTGACATGAATGGCCACACCAAATATTTCCTCATTTTGCAGATCCATGGAACGCATCATAATAAACACGAGCAATGTAATGACCACAGCCTTTTAAGAATTGACTATTATAGTTGCATGTAGTATGGTGCTACTGTTTTGCAACCTGTTGTACATTATTCCCCTCATGCACACAGTATATATACAAATAATATATAAATTAATTTGAAAGTTTGCAACAATAAAAAACAAAATTCTTAAATGAATATTTACAACTTTTTAAAATAATTTTTCCTCGTATTGCATGTTTGTGTCAATATTTATCTCAATTGCAATTTACAATATTTAACACATCAAAAACTTGTATCAGTAAATTCACTTTGGCTGAACACATCACATTGACCATATAAATAGGCCAAGGGAAAAAATTCTCAAAGATGCCTGCCTGCATGCCTAAAAGAATAAAAAAAACTTGAATGTCCTTGTTCCTTTCTACACTCTCTATTGTTTTTTCAACCGTTGATCTTCTTTTTACCCAAACCAAAAAAAACGCCTAGCAACAAAATGTGATACAAGACACAGAGAGGATTATTTCCCTTGGCTGTAGTAACCTTTGCAATGCAGAAACGTTTTTTTTTCTCTTCTATTCTATCCAAGGTCTTTTGGTCCCACATTCACAGCAGTATTTAGCGTGTGGCACTGGATACTTTGTACCACATTCATAGCAGAATTTGGAAGCTCTTTTCCCATTGACATTTTCCATACTGCCGGCAGGTTGTCTTGTTAAATTACTACTTCCTGTTGATGGCCTGCCATAAAGAGGAGGAGTAGGTGTTCTAGTCACTATAGTATCCCTATGAATGAATACACAACGATGAAATGAGATGAGATGTTCACAGTTCAAAATTTACATATTGTAGAATATATTTTTTTAGCTTGGAATTAATTTTCGCTGATAGGATGATTCTATGAAATAAAATCCAGCAAATATACATTTTTTCCCGAGTTTTACATACAACTTGTCAAAAATCAGTGAAAATAAATTCCATACAAAACACTTAAAAAGTGTTTAGAGCGAAAATTTATTCCAGCTAAAATAAAGTATTCTACAGTATGACTTTTCACACTGACAACCATGAGTGGAAATGAGTGATTTAACCCTTTTAATGTAACACCAAAATACATCTCAGAACAAGCAGCCTTTCAACTGAGATAGCTCCGCTTTTTCTTCCATATCACCAAGCAAAATTTCAAGACACATGTTTTACGAAATAAACTCGCCATAGAAGCCAGTTTCAAAATGCTAATATTGACCATTTTCCATGGCATTTGGAACTCTTGTATCTCAAAAAATTGTTTGGTGACCTTTTTATTATTCGGTATTTTGATGCCATGAACAGGGATTTTTTTAAACAAGGGAACAGGGGCACAGCGCCCTCATGCCATGGCCATGCGCCCCTTACCCTGGGGAGCAGATCCTCTGGCAACCATACAATTCTGAATGACCAGGGATCACATGTGGCCACAGTCTTCAACTGTGACCTGTCTGATAGTAATTTTGGCCCCAAGGAAGCCATAGAATGCTCCATTTCAGAATTAACAAAAACCCCACACCCTGGTAGGGAGAACCCTACCCCCCCACACTTGGTGGCACCGCTGAATTGCAGTGCTCCCTCTTGCAGTTTTTTTCTAGAAAAACCCCTGCATGAACCCACAATAATGAAAGCATGAACATATTTATAATTACAATTATTATATTTAATGATTCAATGTAGAAGTACATGATTAGAAGTAAAACGTTACCCACCTCTGCATTGTACCACTAGGAGGTTTGGATCTCATTCCTCTGCTGCCAGCTGACCCTCGTGACCCTGCAGACGTTGACCTTGAATTTGACCCACCTCCATAACTATCCCCTCCCCCTGATGTTCCTTTAGGTGACAAGCTGTTATAACCAGGGTAGTCAAGATCATCATAATAACTGGTGAGGGAAAGTAAATGGAAAGGATTTTTAAAGTTATTGTCGTTAAACCGTACAAATATGACGGTGAGATAACTATGGTCTATGATTGATAGATTCAAAGTTCAAATCCTTCCTGGGGTTGAACTCTAAAATTGAGATTGACCTCTACTCTGGGCAAACTAACTTGCACACTGAATGTGGAGGCCAAATCCACTGACAGAGATTCATTCACCTATGAATGCAACTTTGAAGGAATCTTTGTTAAGGTCCATAGATGTTTGTGTTCAAACGACATGATTGATATCAGGATAGCACATTAACCTTTTCACCACTAGAATTTCTTGCCCAAATTTGTCTGCACTTTTTTCTTATATTCTTCAAAATTTCTGGAAATGAACCTTAATTTTGGAGCCAACAGACAAACCTTGAGTCAATTTTCAGTTTTTACTTATAAAACTTGGCTACTTTTGTCCAAATCTCTGGAAGGAAAGTGCAGACAATAAACGGGACTATTTTGTGATGAAGAAAGGGAACTGGTGGTGAAAAGATTTATAGACATTTAATGGAGTGATGGCAGTACAAAAAACATCAACCACAGATTTCAAAGTGTTCTATAGACACATTTATGTAAATTTAGTTCAGGCCAGTCGTGTCTGATTGTAAACAGCAGCACAGTCAGATTTCAAAGTGTTCTATAGACACATTTATGTAAATTCAGTTCAGGCCAGTCATGTCTGACTGTAAACAGCAGCACAGTCAGATTTCAAAGTGTTCTGTAGACATTTATGTAAATTCAGTTCAGGCCAGTCGTGTCTGATTGTAAACAGCAGCTA